AGCCGGCTCCGCCGCTCAGGCCTTGGCGGGAGGGCCCGGGGACAGGGAAGGCGCCCCGGGGGCTTGCCCCGCCCCCCGCGGGCTCCTGCCCCGAGTCCGAAGGGCGGCCGCGTAGAGACCCCGGGACGGGCGAGCTGCCCCTTAGTCGCGATTGCAGCGGACGACGCGCATTTCCGGAGACGGCTTCCTACCTGGGACGGGCGTCGGCGCCGGGGCTGTGGAGGGTTAGCTCGCGGCCCGGCCTGGCCGCCCCCGTCAGCGGGAGGGCAGGAGGGCTGATTGTTGAGTCAAGCTGGCTCATTTGTGGAGTCACAGCTTCTTCACTTGTGGTTCTCGTCCGCTTCCTCCTCTCCCGCCCCCAGGATAACGCAGGTGAGGTGGAGCCGCTACGCCCCCGAATTCAGGGATCCCCTGGTTGACAAGGAGCATCACCGCAAGCCTGTGGCGGAACTCACCGAAGAGGACAAATATGACCAGGAGCTCAGGAAAACGCAGCTCTTCAAAGCCGCCGCCGCGACCCAGACGAGCTCCGTGTTTGCCGACCCTGCCATCAGGTGAGGTGGCCACGCGCTTCTTCCGTGGGGCTGGAATTAGCCCGGGGAAGGGTTCTGCTGAAGGGAAGCTAAACATGTTTTTCTCCCCGAAGCAAGTTTACCAACATGATGATGAAAGGAGGCAACAAAATACTGGCCAGATCCCTCATGGCCCAGGTAAACCAGTTTCTTCCTCTTTGCTTTTGGTTCCCCTCGGCTTGTACTGCGTCTGGCCTCGTTTTCACCCTTCGCTTCAAAACTAGAGAACGGGTTTCTATACCTGTCATTAAAATGTATTTCTGAGAGCTGGGAGTGGTGGCACCCACCTTAAATCCCATCCCTGGAGAGGTGTTTGATTCCAGCACTCAAGAGTCAGACACAAGGCAAGGCAGGTGGATCTCTTGAGTTCAAGGTTCTGAGTTCGAGGCCAGCCTGGTTTACAGAGTGAGTTCCAGGACAGCCAGGGCTACACAGAGAAACCCTGGCTAGGGGTGGGGTGGGGGGCAGGGTTCTCACCTGTTCTTTGGGTCAGTCTAGCAAAGCAGTAGGACCTTAAACTTGAGGGTCTCCTGGAGCACCGTCTGGCCTGGAGCCAGCTACACACGAGGATAACCTTGAACTCTTGATCCTCCTGCCTGCACCTCCCAAGTGCAGTCAGTCACTGGCCTGCAGCGCCACTCCCAGCTGAACTGGCTGAGCAGCCGCTTCCTGCTCTCTGCAGACCCTGGAAGCCGTGAAGAGGAAGCAGTTTGAGAAGTACCGAGCTGCCTCTGCAGAGCAACAGGCCACCATTGAACGGAACCCCTACAGGATCTTCCACCAGGCCCTGAAAAACTGTGAGCCTGTCATCGGCTTGGTGCCTATCCTCAAAGGGGGCCATTTCTACCAGGTGAGTGCGGGGGTGTGTCTAAGAGCCCCCTAGAGCCTGGGCACTGTCATTGGGCACTGTCATTGTTGGGAGCCCACTCCCTCCCTCCCTCCCTCCCCTATGTTCAGGTGTGTAGCCCAAGCTATACACTCTGGGTAGAGGACTATGTTTATGCGCCAGTGTCTAGAATAAAACTTGTCCCGTGAGCATTTGTCATTATTGAACTGAACTAGCCATCCCTATCACAGCATTTAATCACGTTATACCATTAGGTTATTTTCCCCTTCGGTAGCAACTCTCTCACCGTCTGTGTCTTTAGTGTGTGGTACCATACTTGGCATGCAGTGGGAGCCAGGAAAATGGTTCTGGTATAGAAGGTCGTATTTTTAAGCACCCTTGGTCTGAGGTGGTCAGCTTGCTTCTGGTAGTGGGACTTTCCCAGTTGGTGCTTCTGTCAGCTTGGCCAAGCCTCTCTTTAGGAAGGAAAGTGCTTAATGAGTTTACTAAGTGAATGTTTCTTATTCTGTGATGTCACTCGAGATAAGTCTGAAAAGACTGGCTTCTGTCCTCAGGGCCCATCCCAGGGCTACTCTAGAGAACAGTACATGGGAGCTTGTAGGAGCCCGTGGCCCTCACACTGTCACCAGCTCAGCTTTACCTTATCTCCTCATCCAGGTCCCTGTGCCTCTCACTGACCGACGGCGCCGCTTCCTGGCTATGAAGTGGATGATCACAGAGTGCCGGGACAATAAGCCTCGGCGGACGCTGATGCCGGAGAAACTGTCAGACGAGCTGCTGGAGGCGTTTCATAACAGGGGTGCCGTCATCAAGAGGAAACACAACATGCACAAGATGGCAGAGGCCAACCGTGCCCTGGCCCACTACCGCTGGTGGTAGCAGAACAGAGAGATGGAGAAAGTCCACGTCACTGCCACAAGAAACCAGAGAGGCTGCAGAGATGGCTCAGTAGTTAAGAGCACTGGCTGCTCTTTCAGAGGACCTGGCTGGATTCCCAGCACCCACATGGAGGCTCACTGTAACTCTGGTTCCAGAGAATTTGGCACCATCTGACTGTTGCAGGCACCAGACATGCGCAGTACTCAGACATACATGCGGGGAAAATGTCTACACATATACTACTACTAATAAAGTGATTTTAAAAAGAAAGAAGCAAGTTGAGCTACTGCCCTGTTGGAAAGTTCTGGAAGGAACTTAAGGGTGGAGAGGGCCTTTTGTAATGCAGCTTCAGATCCTATGAAGCCCTTTCTTGATTCTCCCATGTTGATTGGCAGTTGGATGGGTACAGCTTGAGTGAGGCGGCCTCACACAGGAAGGGACATGTCTCACAAGGGGCATGTGTTGTTCAGTAATCCAAACTGGTTCCCCTGCCACATTCCCTCCTTAAGGCAGAGCATGTCTCCTTGGAGATCAACTCCAAGAAACTCGGGTCCCAGCAACTTGGGGCCCCTTTGGCTGTTAGGAAAGGAAGCAGTTTAGTTTCAGACAACATTTATTAGAAAACCTTCACCCAACCTGGTGAGACGTCGTCACTCATGGAAGCTGGCAGAAGGACACAGGCTATCTCCACAGTAGTCTCTGTACAAAACGTAGAAAACACTGTTTCCCTTGTAATTTGTGCTCTGTGCCCTTAACATCCCAAAGCTTCCCACCAATGGCTATGATGGCCCATTTTACAGATGGGGAAACTGAGGCACCAAGGTAGTGTTGCACCAGTGGTTACACAGTTCAGTGGTTGTTAGTTGCCTTTCCCTGCCTGGTGGGAAAAAGGAACCTGAAAGGACTTGGAGGAAGGGGAAGACCAGGAAGGTGTGTGCAGCCAGAGGCGCGTGGACCCTGGCTCAGTCGGAAACCTCACTATAATAATACTTATGGGCAGCAGGAGTGGTCTTCCAGCCGGCTGCCCGGAACTCGATCATTTCCAGCAGCAGCAGCCGCCCCAGGGAGCTGAGGCCTAACGGGAGCAGGAAGCCATCCCGGATCAGGACAAAGAGCTCATCCATGCGCTGCCCGTTCATCTTCTCCAGCTGCTCCCCAACGCGGTGCAGCTGTAGCACCAGGCAGTCCACCTGCAGGGGCAGTGGGAAGGAAGGCCTGGTCAGCCAGAGGGAGCACCTGCTAAGCACTGTGCTTTGCCCTTTATGGTGGCTCCGTGCTTCTGATACCAGGGAGTGTTGCCCACATCTGACCAGGCTGAACCTGGGCCTGCTCCAAACTGCTGCTTAACCCTGCTTTTGCTAACCCTTCACTGCCTGACTCAATGGTTGGTTTCTGGGCAGCTGTGCCCACAGCTGGCCACAGCTCTGGCCACTCCTACCTAGCATAGGTTGGCTCCCCTACTGGCGAGCCTGGAGCCTTGGCTGCTGTGCCTTCTGGATAAAGTCCAGACACTGTGGTTTGTCTCGTAATTGGTACAGGCCTTAAATGCCCCTACTAGGCACTAGCTGAGGAGCAGCAGCCTCCACGGACAGGACTGGGACTCTGAGCCAGCATGCCCTTCACAGCCTTTTGTGGAATGGCCACTCACCTCCTCTTCCCGGCTCAAACTCTCAGGCTGGGCCAGCTGGAAGAGACAGTCATAGACAGGGTTAACCAGGGCCAGCATGGGCATATTGTTCACCTGTGGGGAGGAGAGCAAGAGGTGCAGGAGGCAGCATTAGTGACCATGGGGAGCAGTCCGGTCTTGGCCTTGGGACACAGGCCATCAGTGCTACACAGGGTGACTGCCCTTGCCTCACCCTCAGGTAGTCAAAGATGTTGCAGATAAAGGTGACATAGCAGACCCAGCTCTGCAGTGAGCGGGCTCGCAGCTGCTCCCGGGCCTGATACTCCCGCTGCAGCCGGTCAAGGAGCCCGCGGCGGAAGACACTCTGGCCTGCTTGCTTACTCTCTGCCTGTGAGCCAGGAGAGGGTGGTAAGCAGGGCGCTGGCCACTCCACCCACCCTAGCCTCTGTCTATAAACTTGTGTGTCTTCTGCTGGCCAGCCTGTGCCTGATCCTGGGGTGCCATACTCAAGGCAGCTGCCTCTCTGCCAGCCCCCTCGACCTGGATGATGGCGTAGCACATCCGTCCTGCTTCCTTGCTGAACACACAGTCCTGCAGGGAATGGTCCACAATCACATTGGCCACTTTCTCCAAGTCCACGGTGCCTGGATCTGGGGTAGAGACAGGAGCAGAGTCTAGAGCTGCCTGCTTAAGCCTGTGTGCCTCCATCTGCTAAGGGCTGGAGGGGCTGGTTTTTCTGGGAGAGGTTCTCACCACGTAGCCGTGGCTGGCCTAGAACACTCTATGTAGACCAGGCCTCAAACCCACAGACATTTGTCGGCCTCTGCTTCCTGAGTACTGGATTAAAGTCGAGTACTCCAACACCCAAGATGAGATGTTTGTGAGAGAACATCCTATCCCATGCTTAAAAAGATGCGGGGGAAACCAGCCAGATGGCACTTGGGAGGTAGAAACAAGGAGGGTCAAGAGGTGAGGGCTACCCTTGGCTACATGCAGAGTTCTATGACAGCCTGGGCTACATGAGACCCTGTCTCAAAAAAAAAGAAGCTGGGTTGGGTGGTGCACACCTATAATCCTAGGGCTTGAGAGGCAGAGACAGGCCAGCCTGGTCTACATAGCAAGTTCCAGGTCAGCCAGAGCTACATAGTGAGATTCCCATCTAGAAAATAAAAACCAGAGTTGGGGGTGTAAAGAGTAGAATTTAGGGACCAAGCACTATGCCTAACTACGATGTGTGGAACCAAAGTCTGGACACAATGCAGCCAAACCAATAAATATGTAGTCTCCAAGCAGATGCTTGCAACCATGCCTACACCAGCCTCACTGTCAGGACCCTGGCTGTGCAATCAGGAAACAGGGGAGTTGAAGCATGTCTTAACGGTTAAGAGCACTTGCCTTTTTTGGGGGGAGGGGAATGAGAGGGGTGGTCCCAAGGCAGGAATTCTCTGTGGCTTTGGAGCCTGTCCTGGAACTCACTCTTGTAGACAACGCTGGTCTCAAACTCACAGAGATCCACCTGCCTCTGCCTCCCGAGTGCTAGGACTAAAGGCGTGTGCCACCACTGACCGGCCCAGAGCACTTGCCTTTGAAGAAGACCCAGGTTCAATTCCCAGCTCCCACACTAGTCACAGCTGCCTGTAACTAGTTCCAGAGGCTCTCACACCCTCTTTTGCCTCCACAGACACTGCTGTGCATGGTGGGTGCACATCCACACACGCAGGTAAACACATAGATAAACTAAATTGTTCTGTTTTTTTTTTTTTTTTTTCCCCAGACAGGGTTTCTCTGTGAAACAGTCCTGGCTGTGCTTGAATTCACTCTGTAGACCAGGCTGGCCTCAAACTCACAGAGATCCACCTGCCTCTGCCTCCTCAGTGCTGGGGTTAAAAGTGTGTACCATCACTGCCCAACAAACTAAATTTTAAAAAATTTAATTATATACTGCCAGGAGTGGCACTCACATTTAATGGCAGCACTCGGGAGGCAGAGGCATGCCAACCTGAGTTTGAGGCCAGCTTGGTCTACAGAGTGAGCTGCATTGTAGGTCAGCCAGGGCTACACTGAGAGTCCTGTGCCAAATAAATAAATAAATTAATTAAATAAAGGATTATGAGGCTAGAAGAGACCAAAGTACAAATGTAGTTTCTTGGGAATCTATGTTTTATTTTCTTGGCAGTAGGTTGAAGAATGTAAACTGAATGTCAAGACTTCTACAACTTTTTTTGTTTGTTTTGGGGGTTTTTTGTTTTGTTTTGTTTTTCGAAACAGGGTTTCTCTGTGGCTTTGGAGGCTGTCCTGGAACTAGCTCTTGTAGACCAGAACTCACAGAGTTCTCGAACTCACTGCCTCCTGAGTGCTGGGATTAATTTTTTTGTCTTTTGAGACAGTCTAATTCTGTTATTTAATAGCACTGGCTGGCCTATACCTCACTGTGCAATTTTTTTAAGGTTCATTCATTTTATATGTATGAATATTTTGTCTGCATGCATGTATGAATACCATGTTTGACTGGATCCCAGGAACTCAGGTTACCAATGACTATGAGCCACTCCAGGTCCTCTGCAAGTCATCTTTATGGTTTTGTGTGTGTGTGTGTGTGTGTGTGTGTGTGTGTGTGTGTGTGTGTGTG